TCAGAGTACTAGAATTACACCAAGCATGGCGGGATTATGAATCATTTACACAGATTTCCTTTCAACTAGAAGCAGCGCTATATAGCTATTAATGGCTGGACCAGATACAGGACAGAGCTCGAGACTATCTAGTCTTTGGAAGGCACATGCTGAAATAAAAGGCAGTTCTTGGATTTAGAAAGGAAAATTCCTTGTTCATGTGTACTTAGAAATTCCCTCTGGTGGAGCTCGCAGGGGAATACTCTCTTCTCCTAGGGTTGTCTCCAAGGAGATTAGACAGCTGAAGCGGACTTCAGCTCCCTTGCCTTGGGTTTGAGTAGCCACCAGATGGCGCTCCATTTGGAATGCGTCAGTTCTCCTTGGCGTTTCAGACACAGAATGATTCCAGTAGCCTCCTGCCAGAACAGTTTACTCCTGGGCCTTTGACCACTGGGTTCCCCTGCTAGGTCCAAACTTAGAGAATTTCAGCCTCTTTATGAATGGAGTGCCCTACTTCAAGTAGCCAAAATTCACAAGGTATACAGCTAAAGGAAGAGGGACCCCACTTTGGCTTTTAAACTTTTAGAAGGCAGAAAAATAAGAAACCTACACACATACAAATGAGTAAGAAAAAAACGTGAAGATGAACACACTTTGTGAAAGAAAAGACTTGCCCAAGGGAAGGGCCAGATCCTGCATTCCCAGAGTCGCTGCGTGCTGATTCTGGCTCCCTCCTTCTTCACTGTAATCACCGTCTTGACTACTGTGGTAATTAATTCATCTTTTCCTTGATTGTTTTACTGCATAGTTATGTGTCTCTGTGTGTGTATTTTATTTTTATTTAATTTTTGGCACTGGGGATCAAACTCACGACCTTGCTCTGAACGTGTATTTTAATGTTGATGTCTTAAATTTTTTTATATGTACAGAATCATTTTTTAACCTGTTATTCTTCTATTTTCTCAACTGAATGCCTAGCATTGATATATATCATAATTATTTCAATATTTATTGATTAACAATGAGTTCCTATAGAAATATACTAGCACTTGTTCAATCTACGATCACTGGACTTCTGGATTATACATGCTTTGGAGCTACTATAAATGATTCTGCAATAAATATTTGTGAACATGAATCCAATTTAACATGAATGTGTGTATATAATTGAGAATATTTAGTTAGGTGTGGAATCGCTGGGCATAGGAGAATTTCTCAAATAAAGTCTTAAGGGCTAGGCATGCTTGTAATTCCAGCCACCTTGGAGGCTGACAGGAGAATTGGAAATTTGAGGCCAGCTTGGGAAATTTAAAAAGCTACTGTCTTAATATAAAAAAATTTAAAAGTTTGGTGTTGTAGATCAGCTGTAGAGCACCCCTAAGATCAAAAAAACTCTCAATAGAAATCACAAGTAAGCACAAAAGTAAAGAAAATAGTATAATAATTCACTAGCATATATATATATATATATATTTATATTTGTCCATCTTATTTTACTTATCTTTGCTTTCTTCTACTATACAATGTTTTAAAGCACATTTCAGGTATTGTGTCCTAAATTACTTCAGTCTGTATCTCTAACGGGGGTCATTAAAAAAATAACCACAGTATCACTATAACACCAAAACAAACACAATACCACTATCACACTAAAAAAACAATAGCTACAATGCCTCTACAACACCAAAATGAAACAGTAATTCCTTAATTAGGTTGGTGTTTTTAAACTAATGTTATCAGCCTTTAAGATAGACACAAACCAAGAAAATTGCTCTGGAGATGGAAAAAGGGCTTCATAGCCCTGGCAATGGATAATATCAAATAAATCAACTAAGTTATATGGTGCATTGTTTTTTGGCAGTATAGGAGATTGAACCCAAGATCTTACACTCCACTACATCCCCTCCCTTTCTTATTTTTTGTTTTGATGCAAGGTCTCGCTAGGTTGCCCAGGCTGGTCCAAAACTTGTGATCTTCCTGCTTCACCCACCTGAGTAGCTGGGGTTACAGGCGTGCACCACTGCATGTCTTTTAATTTACTTTATAGGCAAACATACATACATATAAGAAGACATGTGTGGAAGAAAATTATTTTCAGAAGATAACTGATTGAGGACTGGTATGCAATACATACAAAGAAATCATAAAACTCAGTAATACAAACACAACTCATTTTAATAATGAGACAAAGACCTTAACAAACTGCTCAACAAAGAAGATATACAGATTGCAAATAATTATATGAAAAGATGTGCCACATCATAAATGATTGGGAAAAAGTGAATTGAAACAGTAAGATGAGCTGGGCGTGGTGGCACGGGGTGGTATTACCAGCTCTCTGGGAGGCTGAGGTGGGAGAATCACAATTTTGAGCCCAGAGTGGGCAACTCAGTGACTAGCAAACCCTCCCTCAAAGCAAAAATTGAAAAAAGGACTGGGTTGTACCTAGTTTGAAGGCTGTGGGTTCAATACAAGTATCAGGAAAAAAGAAGATAATAAAGAAAGAGAAGAGAAGAAAAGAAAAAAAGGAGGGAGGGAGAGAGAGAGGAAGAGAAGAAGGAAGGAAGATAAAACAAAACAGTGAGATATGACTCTGCACTTAGGTGAAATGGCTACAACCTAGGATGCCAACATAAATACTGTTGAGCACGTGGAACATCTCATTTATTGCGTGTAAGAACAAAAAACAGTTCAATGCCATCAGAAGGCACTTTGGTGGTTTCTCACAATGCCAAACACACATATCTTAACGTGCAACCCAGCAATCATGTTTCTCGGTATTTATCCAAAGGATTTTGTCCACACAAAAATGTACACATGGATGTTCACTGCAGTTGTATTCATAACTGCCAAAATGTGGAACCAATGAAGATGTTCTTCTGTAAGATAATGCATAAACTGTGGTGCATCCAGACAATGGCATATTAGCACTAAAAAGAAATGGGCTATCAAGCCGTAGAGGAAATGTAAATGCATGCTGCTAAGTGGAAGAAGTCAATCCTAAAGGCTTACATACTGTGCAACTCAAGTGCATGACATTCTGGGCAAAGCAAAACTAGGGAGCAAGTAAAACAGTGGTGTTTACTAGAGATTAGGGAAAAGGGAGGGATGATGGTCAGAGCCCAAAGGATTTTTAGGGCAGGAAAAGGGCTCTTCATGAAACCGTAATGGTGGGTACATGCCATTGCACATTAGTCCAGTCTCATAGGATGTACAACATCGAGAGTGAACCCCAGGGTTAATGACTGACGATGGTCAGTGAAGGTCCAACATTGGTAAAAGCTCTATCAGTTGAGAGTGGAGCGGATATTAGGAGAGGCTGTAAATTTGCGGGGTGGGGGGAGGGCATATGTGAAATCTTTATATCCTGTGCCAAATTTACTGTGAATCTAGAACTATAACTGCTAAAGTTTAGGCCGGATGTGGTGGGGCTCACCTGAAATCGATCAGTCTCAGAGACAGAAGCAGGAGAATCACAAGTTTGAGCCCAGTCTTGACAATTTAGAAAAAATAATGAGGCATTGTATCAAAAAAAGCGGGGAAGGGGTGGCTGGAGATGAAGCTCAGTAAAAATCCCCTGGATTCAAGCCCAGTACATACTAAATAAATAAATATCTATCAGAATAAAAGAGAGAACATAGCAGCCTCATATGTGCTGATGTGATACAATCCTTGCATCTTGAATTGCTTGGAATCTACTCACATTTACATGGAAGGATCGATGGAAAACATGATATTGTAGATGGATTAATTGCCACCCACATTTTTTTCATTACCTGGGAATTGAACCTAGGATTGTCCCACTGAACTATATCCCCACTCCATTTTTATATTTTATTTCAAAACAAGAGCTTACTATGTTGCCAAAGCTGGGCTTGAAATCGCCATTCTTCTGGCTGAGCCTCGGAGAGTGCAGGGATTACAGGTCTGCACCACCATGCCAACAATGAACCGCTTCTGTTAGTGCAGATGGGGGATGAATATGGAGTGGCAGGGACAGTCTCTGCCGAAGATCAACTTTGGCTACTCAACATCCCTCTAACCTCTTCTCCCAAAACATAAGAACTAACCCCATCCTTCCCAGGGGATATCCCCAGAGTTTTACTTTGGATTCTCAGACACAATCAGATCTGGATGTGTGCCTTGGTGGTAAAGTCTCCCACAGACATAAAGAAATCCTCAACTTCCACCAACAGCCAGGGTACACTGGGGTAACATGTACTGGGCATCCACAGTGGAAATTCCTAATGAAAAAACAAAAATGAGGAAGATGCAGCAGATGCTACTCCAGAGGTGGGGGCCAGGAAAAGTGAGAACTCCTAGTCCTGGAGATGGATGATATTTCGTAATTAACCAAGGCAGACACACAGATTCTCTGACCTGGAGGTTGTGCACTGTACTTTGTGACTCCTAGCTTTTCCCTCCTATGCTTTTTCTTTGTTTCTTGTTTTTTATGGCCACATCCTAGTTGGGCCTTAAAGAGTGCAACTTCTTGGGACACTGAAAGCATGAATATGTAGGATTCAAGAATGTAAGTGCAATGGGAAAACTGCTCTGCACTGGAAATGCTAAGAAGTTTAGGGCCAATGTGAGGGAAGGGAGGAGACAGCTAATGAACAAAGCAGGGCTGTGAGGAAGGGCTCCTCATGACAGGGCTGCTGAATACTCACATAGGGTCATGTGTTTGGCCAACTCCTCAGGAAAGTGTACCATACAGTGGAGGCCCACTAGGAGTAGCTATTTGCAGAAAGAAAAAGAAAAGGGCAAAGCACTGTTATGGGTGGATTTACATAAAAACAGAGTTATCAGAGAACAGTTATCCAGAGTCTTTCCTTTGAAGCAGAAACTCAAAACCAGAGGCATTCCTGAAGGGGGAGCCACGTGCGAATTCATAAATACTGCGTGCACAAGGACAGGAGCTTAATATAAACGACCTTGCTCGTGTTGCAAGGGCTGGAGGCCACCTTAATTAGAGATGAAAGATTCTCCTTGACACCTAAATTAGACAGTTGTTCATTGACTCCTGAATTCAATAAATATTTATTGATTTATTAATTCAGTATACATAGCAGTCACTGTCGCACACACAGGGGAGGAGGATCTATCAGTGAATGATACTGAACAAAATCCCTGCCTACGTAAAGCTTACATTCTCATCATCTGAAAGAGACCATATCAAGCTCTATACATGCTCACACTTTTTCATACCAATACATTTGACTGTTTCGATGAGATTATTAAACTCTTTAAAAATTACAGTTTACCAAAACTGAAAGGGGAAAAAAAGAAAACTGAATTAAAGAAATTGAACTTGTTATTAAAAGTCTTCTCAGAAAAAAACATACCCAGGATACTGTTGGCTTCACTAGTGAATTTTTCTAAACATTTATGAAAGATAAAATATCAGAATAGACTCAGAGAGTTCCCATTCCTTTTAGAAAACCATTATAAATTCAGTGTTAAACAAAGATATGAGAGGAAAATAAAACAATAGAATCATATTTAAATAATCATAATGACTGCCATTCAAAGCAAATAAAATGAGATAAATTGTAGATGTTGAGTCACATGACTCAAGGAGAGAAAAAGCTAGACATAGGATCAGGACAGGACTAGAAATGAACCTGAGCTCCTCACATTGCTTTTAGCTCCTCCTCTGCAGGAGGTGCAGCAGAATTGGTGGCTGTGTCACTGGTCGGGGCTGAGTCCTCACTCAGGGCCCTCTCCAGACTGGCGGGCAGGGAGTGGATCAGTCTCTCTCGGAAGTCCTGCCCCACAAAGACATAGAGCATTGGGTTGAGACAGCTGTTGAAGAAGGCCAGGGACCTTGCTGGGCCGACCAGGATGGCAAAGACTTTGTACTTGCCCTCAAACAACATCTCTTTGAGCCACACAGTGCTTAAAAGGGCAACCAATTGAAAGGGGAACCAACAGATGAAGAAGGAAGCCACAACAGCAGTGAGGACCCGAAAGGGACGGCTGGAATTCATCAAGCCTTTTCTGCGAATCTTGGCAGCGATGAGCCCATAGCAGATGGCGACCATGGACATGGGCATGCTGAAGCCAATAATGAACCGGATGATCCCTCTAGCTGTCAACATGGCGATGGCCACCTTCAGCCTCTTTTCAATAGTGTCTCCCCAGGATACAAAAGAGAAGGTACAGTATGTGTTCCCGTTCGCGTCACTTCCTGTGGTCAAGAAGATGAAAACTGGCAAGGTAAGGACTAGGGCAAGAATCCAGGGTCCGATGATGACCTTCTTGGCCAGACTCACAGTGCGGTGGTTCTGAGCCCACACTGGATGCAACACACAAATACAGCGATCCAGAGCGATCAGAGCAATCAGGAAGACACTTCCAAACAGGTTTATGTCCACAACTATGTGAATCAACTTGCAGAGGAACCAGCCAAAAGGCCATTTTTCTCCCATGGCCATGGAGACAATGAGGAAAGGCAGGGTGGCAGTGAAGGAGAAGTCAGCTAAGGCCAGGTTCAGGTAACAGATGGTGGTGACTGTGTGCGCCATCCGGAATCCAGCCACCCAGATCACCAAGCCATTGCCCAGCACACCCAGGACAAAGGTGACCGAGAGTACCACCAATGGGAGTATCCGCAGAACAGCGTAGCCAGTTGATTCATAAGGCATTTCTTCAGATCCATTGAAAGGGATGGAGAAGTTCGATGCCATCCTGCTCACACCTGAAACATTGCAGCAAAGATCATTTCTCAGATGTTGATTTATTTTGCAGCTTTTCTATTCAGATCCTGTATCACCTGCCACTCTAACTCCTACTTTAACCAGAGGACCCATCTACCGAGCCTGATGGCCAGTGATATCATAAAATTGGAACTGTTGAGGATTTTCTTATGGGAAAGGAGTTCTCCACATTCTCACAATGACGAGTATGCATCTCCTTCTCATCCAAGAGGATTCCAAGCTCTGTCCATCAGCACCAGGGCCAACCTGAGCACGCACAGACATCACAACATGGAGCAGAGGCAGCTTCACAAAGTGAGGACAGCACTAGACTCACACTCACAGGCTTCACATCTGCTTCCACCCACAACCATATGGAAAAATTTCAGAAAGCTCTGCACCCTCCTTCAGCCCCGAGTTCATACAGTCTACTAGATCCTGTCCCTGCCCCCTGTGAGAGACTCAGAACTCTTGTCTGGTCAGTATTTCAGTTAGTTAAGGGTTTGCCTAGAGTTTTCAGTTGAAAACATTCCTGAGCCAGCACTGGTACTATGTGGTAATATGTCACATCCTCCGGATTCTGTGCAAGAGGAACTCTGCAAAAGGGTCCTCATCCCTACTTGCAACACAGCACATTTCATTGTCCATTCCTCAGATCATCTCTGGGAAGAAAATAATTTGCACGGCTTCAATGTTCGGTGTCATAAACAGTATGAGAGCAGTTAGGTTCTATTACTGTTTGTGGGCTTCTCATTCGAGACCATGGACTCTGATTGCTCTACACAGGGACCGATTTGAGGTACAAAATTTCAGTAGTGTTTGTTATTTCTAGTTTCCATAGGAATAAGTTCATGCTCAGGACAGTTGTGAAGACCGCTGAAGCTCACTTAAATAGTAAATAGTACAGAAAGCATTTCAGTTCAACAATGACTGAAGCTTTGCTCACATGGAATTATCATAAGAATATGACAGGTACTAACTGTCATCTCTTTTTTTACCAGGCAGAAACCATAACTCAAAGGTTTCGTTGGGTTTTTCAGCGTATGTCGAGCCCCTTCATTGGGGCAGCAAGATGTGAAAATTAGGTTTAACCAGTCCCAGAGCTATTGCCTTTGCTAGGCCGAAGTGCTGCCTTTGAAGGGGCTTCCCCCAGGAGTGCCTGGAATAGGTAGGTAGGACCCCCTCCCCATCTCCTGATATCCTGGTATGATTAGTTTCCTTCTCTTTCCCTTCTTACCCCATTCTTTTCTCATTTTCTCTGTCATTTTCACGATGGTCTTCTATGTAATATTGTGTAATGAGTTGTAGGATTTCTCCAACTTAGCCCTGTTGACATTGGACCTTGGATATTTCCTTTTTTGGGGAGATTGTCCACGCACTGGAAATGGGTAGAAGCATCCTTGGCTTCTGTCCACTAGATGCCAGTAGCAGTTCCCCACCAGTAATGACAACCAAAAGTGTCCTTTGAGAGGCAAAATAATCCCTTTTAAAAGTCACTGTTGTAGTTAAAGACCACTGGGGTCTAGAGTTGCATAAATCTGTATTCTAATCTCATTTCTGACACCTCCCCAATGTGAGTTCTTAGACAAGGTCAACCTTTAAGCTTTGGTTTCCTCCTCTGCAGAATGGGGATGGTTTTATGAGGAAGACTGATTTTCATGAAAGGATTAAAGGAGAATAGATGTGGAAGTTTTAGATGGACCATGTGAGGCTTAACAAGCTGGCTCACAATGTTTTGGATGGGCGTTATGGAACTTCAAGTCAGTCAATAGCAATGCTCCTAACAGTGGTGCCTGCTGCTTGTGAACACTGTCCACCCTGGAGCAGCTTGCTTTGCACTGCTCAGCTCATCACAGTAGCCCTTGCAGACCACACATGTTGATATGTGTGCAGCACTGAATGTAATGTCGAATAATGTTGATCATATTAATATGACCACTGTATAGAAGAGGAAGTGAAGACAGACTCATTGCATTAATTATTCAAAGCTCCCAGTTAGAAAGCAGCATAGCCAGAATTTGGCTTCAGTCAACTGATTCATCCAGAAATGCACTCTTCGCCCTCTCCCACCCCATGTTCCTCAACAGTCTCAGGATCTCTTTTCCTGCCCTACACACATCCTACAAGGCGCTTGGAGGCATTGGAGGACAATGAGCTCAATAATCTCTAAATCGGTGATTTTGAAACATTAGTGCAAGAAGCACACTGAGAGGTGGGGCCGGGCTAACAAGACAACGTTGCAAAATGATGGGTCACCCTAGTCTTAAGGTGGGGAGAGCTAGGAGTCACAGAGGTGACCTGTGCTGACCACAGCGTCCCCTATGGTCCGACCTAATGCACGCCAGTCATCTAGTTTCAACATCCTCTGTTTGGGCCAAAAGTCACCATCATGTGATACAAGAGGAAACCTCAAGATACAAGAGGAAGTTAGTTGCCCAATGTCACCATCATTAAAGTGACCATAGACTTTCATTTTATAGCCATAGATCCCAAATGGAAACTCCGCAGTCCTTGTGAACGCACTACTTTCTTTTTAACATATTCACATTCCTGTCTTTAAAACACCTTTAAGTGCTTCTTTTTCTGCAAATCACCTACCTCATCCACAATCCTACATGAACTTATGCACTTGACTGAAATTTCACAGAGAAAATGTTAAAATTAGATGGGAGTTTTTAAGCCTTCTCTTTCCAGACCCTCCAGTCTACCTGCACCTGTTTTTGTGAGTAAAAAGGATTTTTGTCCTTTTCAAAGAATCACTCTCTTCATTTGCTCTGGATCCTTCTCGCTCACCTTCCCCAAAACTTGACGCCTGTACTTTTTCTTCTATTTTCTGTCCCCAAGCTCCCCAGATTTAATTTCTACTAAATCATTCCAACTGTTACATAAACTCATAATACCAGTGGCCCTCCCTTTAAAAAGATATGATCCTTGTCCCCTGTTCCTGTCTAACTCCACCCCTGTTTCTATGGGGAAGCGTCTTTCCATGAAAAGAATCTCAGTACGACTTTAGAAGAGGGAAACTCAACTGTCCTCCCCACTTCTTCACCTGACGTCTTCTCCTGGTCTCACTCCAGGTGACCTGGGTCCTCCACACTCCAGATGTGGCCCCTGGAGGAGGCTCCGTGACTCCATATCGCTGAGTCCAGCGTCCCTTCTCCGTTCTTATCCTGATGCCCAGTGAAACAGGGTCCATCAGAGTTCTTCCTTCCTGACATTTGTTTTTCTTTTGCTTTGAGATGATAAAATGCACACACAACACAGACTTCATAGTCTCTGTAGCTCAGTTTTCCAACTTTTTTTAGTTCAGGTTACCAGCTTTTTCAGGGCTTTAAGTTTGAGTCTAAAAGTTGGGGTCGTGCCTGTCCCCTCACCCCATTCTCCCTCTATAGTCTTTACTCAGGTGATACAATCCAGTCTCCCAGCTTAAAATATGTCATCACTTCTCATCTAAATCATCAGCTTTGGCATTGCTCTAGCCCTCCAGCCTGATAGAATCAACTGCTTTCCTTGTATCTCCCCTAATAATCCAAGTGACACCCCCAGACTTACACCAGCACTGCCCAAACCAAACTCTTATATGTCCTGTTCTCCCAGACAAGCCACTCTCTCAGTGCCCTGTCCACGCTGAACTCGTGTATTCAGTTGTCAAAGCTCCAAATAGAGAACCTATCTCTGATCTCTCTTCCTTTACCTCCCAACTCAGTCCCACCTCTATAGATTCCGAACACTGAACACGCAGCCAGGATCATCCCCACCCTCTGCCCTTGTCTGTGGGCTTGCAGATTTTCATAACCTCACAAACAAATTGGTCCTGAACATACTCCTCTGCCAAAATCCATCTTCTAATAAAAGCCAAATGATCTTTACAAAAGGACAAACGAAATCAAGACATGTAAGGAGGCACGGTAGCACATGCCTGGAATGCCAGCCACTTGGGAGGCTGAGAGGAGAGGATGAGAAGCTAGAGGCCAGGCCGGGGAAGTTAGTGACATCTGCATAAACATAAAATTTTTTAAAGTGTGGAGATAGTTCAGTGGTACAGTCTTTGGGTTCAGTGCCCAGTACCACAAACAAACAAGAAAGAAGGAAGGCGTGACATCATTCTGCTCGGTGCTCTCCAGCACCTCCCTCCAGACTCACAGCAGCCGTGTCTGCGCAGCCTGCTCCTCACACCTCATCCCTCCACTCCTCTTTCCCGCGTGCCCAGTTCACACCGAGCCCCGTCACCTCCTCTTCCACACACCACAGTGCTGTCGCTGACTCTGTGCTCTCAGTTCCCTTCTGCTCACAGTGCCCTTCCCTTTGAGCTTCCCTCTCACCATGCAATTTTTGAATATTTATATCTTAGTCGAACTATTATGACCCTCAAGGTGTCTTCTGACCCATGATGTAAAGCTTGTCCTGCTAGTTACCTTTCTCATCTATTTGTTGATTGATTTATCCCCCCCCCCATACCCCGTGCACTCGTTTGTAACTCCACAAGACCACTGAGTTCCCTCGGCGCTCTGTCCCCGTGGTCACTCTGTCCAACAGAAATGCGATGGGAGCCCACACAGGAGCCATACAACCAACTTAGAGTCTTCTAGTAGCCATGTTGAAAGAGAAGTTTAAAAATTCTGAGAAAGTTTTAGTGATACATTTTATTTAACCCAACGTATTAAAAACTATTGTTGGAACTTGCTACCAAATGAAAATTGTTAAGCCAGGCACGGTGACACATGTCTGTAATCACAGCTACTCTGAAGGCTGAGGCAGGAAGATGGAGCATTCAAGAGACACTATCTTTAAAAACCTGAATAAATAAAATGAAATAAAAATTAACGAGATCATTTACATTCTGTTGTTGGTACTCTGAATATAACAAGTGCATTTTGCTTTCAGTACATTTGGTTCAAGAGCTCCGTAGCTGTCCTCACCCGGTGGGTACAATACAAACAGCTCTCTTTGAGAGCTTAGGAAGTCTCTGTCACATAATAGGCACTCGAACAATAATTTAAAATTTTTCAGACTGCAACTTACCACCAGCTACGGCCCCTTCTTGTTGCAGGCTCCTGGCTTCCTGCACAGTCAAGGCTGTTGGCCTCCGCAGAGAGTTTATTGACAAACAGAGGGTGGGACAATGAAGCCACAGCCAATCTGGTGAGAGAAACTGGAGGTTCCTTACAGTTTCCAGAAGGTAGCGCAGAGCAGATAGCAACAGAGTCTTAGAAAGGTGCAGGTCTGGATGTTCTCCCCGCTCCAAACTTCTGTGGGTAGCAGAGGGTCCATCCTGTGAATATCAGGGCCCAGGGATCGGGTGCCAGGCTCTCTCGATCGGAAAGTCAGGAAAATGGAAGAAACAGTTACTGAGGGGAGAATAATCAGGGGCCGGCAGGAAAAGAGAAATGATGGTTAAGGAAAACCTCACTTCTGCACTTTAGCAATACTTCTGACGCTGAGTGCATGAGGTTTTTCCACAGCAGGCAATTCTCCATTTCTCCATGGACATTCACTGGGTAACCTACAACTCTACTCTGTCCCAGCACCACCCAGGAGGAATGCAAGAGGCACAGACACTGCTCCTCGGTGGAGAAAATGCAAAGCAGTTTGTACTCATCTCCTTAAAACACTGCATGGAGTAGTTGGGTAGATCTGGGGGCCACTGCCGAGATGGGAGCCCACAAGGAGAAGCAGAGTAGATCAGTCTGCCAGGGCTGCCATAGCACAGCACCACAGGGAGTGGATCGACTAAAAGAGTGATGTTCTCGCAGTGCCGGAGGCTGGAGTCTGAGATGGAGTGTGGGCAGGACTGGTTCTCCTGGGGCCTCTCTTTGTGGCCCAGAGCTGGTGTCTCCGCCCGCTGTCCTCACGCGGTCCTTGCTCCATGCACATCTGCATCCTAATCTCCTTTCCTATCTGGGAGGCCAGTCATACTGGGTCAGGGCCCAGCCTAAGGACCTTGCTTCACCTTGGTTACATCTTTAAAAGTCTTGCCTTGAGTGTCACGGTCTAAGGGGTTGGGTGTTGGAGGGGAAACACTTTATGCCATAACAGAGGTGTGGGATACAGCGATGAGATAAAATGATGGCAATGGGCCTGAAGGGACAAATGAAGTGGGGAGGATGTACCTTGCATGCAGCTTCAACTAGAGATAGGGATTCTGGGACTGTTGGCTGAGGTGTCATTGAAATATTAAGCACGGAGCGATCCATGCAAACAGAACATAAAATAGGAGATAAAGAGTATTTTCTAATTGTTGAGGTACAGGCAATGTTTATCCACAAGAATTCATTGCATCCATTATATGATATGTTCAGAGAGAGAGAGAGATGCTCTGTAAATATTATTACTCTCAATTCATTGTAAAATGATGAGAATCAGCAGTTAAAATCAAGGGCCAAATATAGCCTTCCATCTGTTTCTGTATGGGGTGTACAAGAGATAAGAACAGGCCGGGGATTTAGCTCAGTGGTTCTGCCGATGGCCTTGAAAGCACAAGGTCCAGAGTTCGATCCCTGGGACCAAAAAAAATATATATATATCAAGTGAGGCATGATGGCACATACCTGTAATGCCAGCTCACTCAATCAAAAGAGATAGGAACAGATTGACATTGTTTTACTGGCTGGAGGAAATCAAAGGGGGATATGCTGTGCCCTATCAGAATTAGATGAGCTCCAGCAACAAGTCCCCATGTGAGGCTCTGTGGGCGCAGCTGCACGGGCTGTGTGCCTACCGCACTGTAGAGCAGAACCTGGAGGCAGCCGCAGACCCTGTGCAGTTGGGCGGGAGATGATCACTCTCCAGTCCTTCACAGATGACACCGGCTGGCCACCTGTCTGTCCGGCTGCGTGCCTGGCTCCTGCAGACCTGGATTTCAGCCCAGCCTTCACTGTTTCAGCCCCTCCTCCGACTTCCCTAGATGCCATGCAGAAGTTCAGGTCCTCATGGGGATGGGGAATCCTGTGGCCCTGGCAGGGACTTTCCATACCCTGCTCAGCCCTGAGGCCACTTCCTCTGGTCATTGACCAGATTAGGCAATGGGGCCAGGCAAGAGTGGGCCCATCTGAGACTTTCCTTTCTTTCTGCACCCCAGCTGCCTTGTGCCACACAACCTTCCTCAGAGTGTTTTTGCAGACCCTGGTGCATATCATGAGCCATTTGGGAGCATGAAACAAAACCTGCTTATACTTTAATAAAGAGAGGACACAATGGGGCACAGGCAGGAGCATCCCACCAGCCCAGCCGCAGGAGGAACAGTCCGACTTCTGAAGACTCCCAACTTTGTCCAGCAGCGCTCTGTGCCGTCCCTGGTCCCTTCTCAATGCATAGCTCTGCCCTTGCCAGTCTCTTCTCTGTAATTCTCCCCCAGGATTTTGCCTTCCTTGCGACTCTCCTTACCCCTCCTCCATGGGAACCTTCTAAAATGCATCTGTTATGGATGACCACAAAGAAATTTTTATAAAATGTAAATGTGAATGTATCTCATTTCTGGTTAAAAATCTTCAGTGATCTTATTATCCTGGCTTGGGAAGCTGTAGGTGAAGTCAGGAGATATGGCAGCTAACTTGTAGCCATGAGAAATCCACAATATTGAAGATTGTAAAATATGCAGGTCAAAGTAAGTGTGGTTCTTCATTACAGTATTCAGACAGAACAAAACCTAGTACCACCCATTTCCAAGATTCTTGTAAAGTAAGCCATAAATTTTGCTCTTTGTTTAAGCCTTTGTTAAGTGTAATTGTGTATTACTTAGAACTGAAATCAGCCTATCAGAACCAGGCATTGGAAATAATTTGGGGATGACTGTTTTTACCTTTGTCTCTGAATCTTTCTTCCCGTATTTCTCCACAATATTTTAGAAACTTAGATGATGATGAAAAGTTCCTAAAGACTGAAGCCTTGCTGGGCTAGAAACCTATAATGAGCTTGCACAGGGGTGGGGATTATGGGCTTCATGCTCACAGTGGTGGCTGAGTGGGGATGTTTCGTCCTGTCCTGCCTGCACTTCTGATCCCTCTCTCTCTCCCTCTCTCTCTCTCATTTCTGCCTCACATCTCCCATCTTCATTCTACAAGTGTGTCATCATTTTCCACAGATCCTTCTCACCTTAATATTTCCCCTCTCTTTATCTTGACTACTTGGACAAGAGGGGCCTGGACACCTAATTTCAAGACCCTTGGTGAGGAGAGGGTTGAACCTCTGCACCCCACAGAAGACTGAGGTTGAGCAAAACCTTCAGGCTCTGGAGTATTTGAAAGGACCCAGTCCAGTCTCCAAATTCTTTAAAACAGCTATCAGTCCATTCTTGGGGTCATTCTGAAGCACGAGGAAACTTGTTTTCCTGTTTCTTGTTACTGTTGGTTTTAGTTCTTATCCCCTCGCCAGCCCCCTCGGTACATCTTCGATTGAGACTACTGGAGCAGTCTCTCTCTCTCTTCAGGAATCAGGACTTAGAGCTTCCCAAGCAGGGGCCACCGCTGGCAGATCGTCCAGGTGAGGGACGAGGGCTGGTGCTGAGGAGCTGGACGAGGGTGTGTGCCACAGACTGGTGCACACAGGAACCCTCTAGAGTGAGCTGGAGAGACTTCCAAGAGGAATATGAACACAGAAAGCTTGCACCACTCTTTCAGGATGTTTTTCTGTGAAGGAAAAGCAAGGAATGGTTGTAGAGAAAAGAATAATGTAACATTGAAAAGTAGTATTTTTTAAATCTTAAGAAGTTCTGAGCAAGGGTGCCCAACCCCTGGGCCATTGACTGGTGCAGATCCATGGCTTGTTAGGAACTGGGCCACACTGCAAAGGCTGAGAGACCCGCAGCTGGCTGAGGGCTAAGGCTCATCTGTATTTACAGCTGCTCATTGCCTAAATTACGGCCTGAGCTCCGCCCACTGTCAGACCTTCCCAGGCGCTCATTTCTCATAGGAGGGCAGACCCTACAGTGAATTGAAAATGTGAGGAATCTAGGTTGGTGATCCTCAGGAGAATCTGATCCTGAAACCACACCAGGCTCCCGTCCGTGGAAAGATTGTCTTTCATGAAATTGGTCCCTTTTGCCAAATATGTTATGAACCATATTGGGGTACTGATGGGAATGATGGAAAACAGAGAATACGAGGCTGCAGGAGAGACAGGAGACAAGTGAAGGAGGAAAGCTCCGGAGGAAAGAGGATGGGGTGAGATTTGGAGAATGAGTAGAGTGTGGGACTTGGAGCAGATACTTGTGCGCTGGTCACAGAGGTGAAATCCGATAACAGGGCTGGATCAGGCAGGACAGCGGGGCTGCTGGAGCAGGAGCCGAGAGCATTAGCTGCGAGAGCCAGTGGAAGAGGTTCCAGGCTTTGAGGAGAAGGCAGAGGACATTATTATTATGGGTCACAGGGAGATGAGCATCATAGGACAGTATCTTTCAGAGCAGGGATGAGTTTCCACATGGAGACTGCTTCTGGGTTTACGTGGGATCTGTCATCACCATTTACCTTTGCCCTGTGAAGAATTGCAGACTTTGTCACTTCTTCACCCAAAGCCTAGGTTTCTTCTTGTCACACAGTGTCAGGGGTGCTTAGTTAGCACAGTGCTCTTGCAGATCAAGTGTGGGTAAGGATGTGGTATAGGGACGGGCAGGCAGAAGGGACTCAATAAATGGCAGCTGCCATGGCTTGTGGTCACTGCAAGTCACAGCTTTCCTCCCTCAATCCCTGGCAGAGACACGTTTCATAGCTTTTCTTCACAGGCACTTCCTGGGCCATGGTTGCAGAATCTTCCTAATTCATTACATCAACCTTTTCAACCATTTTCAGAGATTGTGGTATTTTGACTGTGTCGGCTATGGGATTGGAAATGATGTCCTGGAAAGACACTGTATCGGGGGAGAACAGCGCAAGCTCCAGGGACTGTGTCCATGAGCCCTTCCTGTGAGCACGACCCTTGGGGGTGAGTATTCTAGCCCTGGTCAGGCATCCAGGTGACTGAGTTTCAGTCCATATCTGAGATCCCATTACACAGACACCCACTGGAGCCACTCCCGAATTTCTGACTCACGTACACTATAACACACAGTAAGTGCGCTTCCTGTTACTGTGAGCCACTAAGGTCTGGGTGTGATGTCATGTAGCAATAATAACCAGAACAGAGACCAACTGATACACAGGACACAGAATGAGGTCAAACAATATGAAGGGTGGCGAAGTCCATCAACTGTATGTCTCACAAAACTCACATCACTGGGTCGTTACGTCCTCCACCTTATCATCCAAAACTTACACATAGATTGCAGCTTTAACTG